ATGGATCTGATGAGATTCGTTGAACAAGGTAAGCTTCTATCTGGATTCTTTGATCTTCGGTAAGATTTGCTCGATGTTTGAAGTAGATTTTCAAGTCATCAGTGGAAGGTATCGATTCGAGAATATTATCCGTATTGTTAAGAGACGCCAAATCCGATATGGAATGGTTCAATAAATAATCTAGTAATAATTCATCATCGCGAAATGATGAGCTTTTGTTAATATCAGAATTTGTAGAAGCATTAGTATGCGGTAATCGAGATTGATGAGAACGACTTTTTGTATCGGAATCGCTGGATATGCCATTCGGATTAGCTAATGAACCATTGTATCGAAGACCAGGAGAGAAATTCGAATCAGAATATGTATCTTGTGGTAAACGAGTTTCCGTTCCATTTTCATAATTTAGGGATGCACCATCAAAATCATTATAATCAGGTCGTAAAAGCTCATCGTTTTCGAGACCATCTTCATGATCGATAAGATGAAATGAATCAGATTGTGATTCATCATCGTCTGATATTTGCATTGATGCATTTCCTTGATCAGTTGTACTGTTCAGTTCCACTGCTTTCAATCTTCTCTTTCGAAACAATCCGAACGGTTTTCTCGGTGTGGAAAAAAACTGTGTGTATACTCTCGTCATATTCGTCATAGACAATAACGAATACGACAACGGCCAAAGCGTTGGTAAATAAACACTATCGATTGCGGTAATATCGACCACCGGTGTTTCATCCATATTAATGACTATAGATAACAACAAAGGGAAGGATAGTGGCGGTCTAAGCAGGTTATGATGTGCGGTACAAAAATCAAAACAACAATCAAAGCGAATAAAGAAGTTTGATTCCTACCAGGATGGCGCGTTGGAGGCAGATTTTTCTCCGGTTCTAAAGAACAAATTGAACAGTGATACACGTCGTTTTAGTCAGTTTAACCTACCAGTAAAATATAAGAAGTTAAACATCCAGTAAGGTTGGGTCTTTTTTGCATTTTTGTTGATTGTTGCGTAAACATACGTCGTTGCATTAATTCTTTCAAGTGTTATTGGTAAATCGGATGCTTTAGAGAAAACGCTTCGTATTGTTGCAGATTCTTGTGTGTACATGATCAATATCATAGAACGTGTCGCAATGTATCTAATGAATAAAACGAAAAATCGACCCAAGTTTACAGATAGTTTTACATACAAATGATGACATTCATCAGCGATTAGACCAAAGGGAGATTTAATCGCTTTGCCTTTGGTGACATTGCCATAAGTCAAACGAAAATCATTGGTTATGCGTAATTCATAAATTAAATGTTCTTGTTTACTGGCATAATAAATTGAATTCGACGAAGACAAGACAACGCTGCCTTCATTCAATGTTTCATTTAAGACTAATGGTTCGCTCAACAAAATACCGGTTTTAGTATCGAAAATACTATAGATCAGACCAATTTCTGCAGAGATGAATACCAGAGACTTATTCGTTCCTGCATGATCGCGTTTTATAGTAAAACCGTAAACGCGTAAGTTCGGTTGATCATATTGCAGTGTGATTGGTTGAATACAATAGTTTTGAGTGAAATCTCGCCGATCAATATCAAATCGTACTTGACACACACGCAAAGCGATGATATTTGTTGAGGAATAATTTGCGTAGATAAAAAAAAGTTCATGCGGAGATTCAGAAATCAATGAAGTACATGACGTAGCAATGATTACATCTACTGTACTGATAGTAAGAATGAGTTGAACATGTTGAGCGTCATAGATATGGATCTGATGTTTAGGTTCAATGAACAACAGAAAATCATCGATAGAAGAATAAGCAAGGAAATTTTGAGCATAGAGGCGAGGAACATAAGTTATATTTGAAGAGATTTGAGATGTTTGGTATTTACCAAAAGAAAGCATTGACTGAAGCTAGATGAATACAACAAAGAACTTTTAGTCTTTTTGCAAAACATCATTAATTTTCTTTGATCATGATTGTTAGTCTGTGAAAATATTTGATCAAATTTCATGAAAATAGCTAAGTTCTTTTCTATACAAGACATATGATTAATAGCAATCGACCTGAGGGAGCTCTCCGGTGAACAACATGCAAGTGTAAGACTGATGGTTGATTAATTGCAATATACGCACTTTACTATGTGAGATATTAAAAGTGTCTCCAAAGACTTGCAAGTTGCGACGGAATGAGCTTTTTTTTGTTTTTGAAATTGTAAATGAAATTCATTCGATCATCAACAATCTTACCTTGGAACAGATCTGAGGAATAGCTGCTGGATTTGCCCATTGAATACTATCTAAATGTCGAAATCACATTCAAACTTGTTCTGCTCGAAAATTTCGACAAACATTCTTACCAACAAGAAGAATAAATTGAACAAAGAAAAGTATCCAACAGCATCTGATCATTCTTTTGTATTGAAACCCGCCAATATCATTGACATACATTTCGAAGGTTAACAGTCGAACGTCGTGCTAACGTGCAATATCACGTGTCTAAACACACATCTGAGCATTCTTTTTCTCTTCTGAAATCACTTTCTCTGAGTAAGAAGAAAAGATTTTGTTTTTTTTTGTGCGTAGGAAAATCTAGTGCTGGATATTCTCTTGTCGGTAGTGATTTCTGACAGAAGAAAACGATAGAAACAAGCGATTACTCAACAAAATTAAAGTTAAATACGACGAGAGTCCAATGTTATTGTCGTTGTCGTCTCTGGAGAAAGAATACTGACGATATGAGAAGAAAACGGAATACGAAAAATAAGAGAGAAGAAAAGCCTAGAATACGGCTCGGTAGAGAAAGAGAAATCGTCTGATTAGTTGACTGATTTTACAATGAAACGTGATGGTTTTAATATTCAACCAAGGATGTATCGATTCTCCATAGATTTGATATCCAAAATTTGATCAGGTTCAACACGAATGCGTTTATCCACCTCGGAATTGCTCGAGATGAGAAATGTACTTTGCTTTTATGGTCGCTATGGTCAATTGAAGATAGTAGAAGAGTTTAGAAAGTAGGAGTTGTATAAGTTCAAATAAGATCGGTCTTAATATTTCCTGGAGAAAAATGATTTTACGTAAATCTAATCACATTTGACAAATGCTTTTTGTTTGATGAATAAAGCATGAGATGATTTATTGAAAATTTACAAATGCAAGGAGAGAACTAAAAATAGTCAGTTTCAACGAGTGAAAATATGTTATGAAGAGAAAAGAAAAGTCAATCAAGTTCTTTTCTTTTACAGTGCATTGTATCGACACAATAAAATTACTCTCACATGAAATTCTTCTACTCTCAAATAGTCAAACACGTTTATCAATGAAAACGATGCTTTCGAAGTTTTTGGCGCCAATAGCGAGCAAAGAGAACTGTTGGTGTTAAATTATCATATGATCGAAAGTTCAACGATGATAGATATCTTTCAGTGAGATTCTCCCATCTATCCAAAACAACAGCGGGAAGTTGTTTAAATAACGAATCAGCTCCTGATCGAATAACGACTGGTGCAGCTCCCATGAGTAAAGCTTCCCATGTTCGATGACAATCGTAACCATTCCCTGGTGGTGATAGAACAAATTTTGCGTTACCAAGATGTTCCAAATAGGTTTCAAAAGAAATGCGATCTTTGATTATTTGAACGTTTTTAAAGATCTTTGCTCGACCAAGAGCATTGGGACGCTCGTATCGATTGGTGAAAGGCGAAAAATTGACGTACAACAAAGTTGATCGATTATGCCAAGGTCTTCGATATTTTTCAGCTGCGTGTAGCAATAAAGAACTATTTCCTCTTGACCAATGTGTATTGGGGAATCCGATCGGTACGGGATAGAGTTTAGGAAAAGTTATAGAGGGATTTGTCGCATACCATGCTAGAATACGTTTGTCGTTTAAACGAAGTCGATGTTCTCCTGGCGCTGGGCTATCAGTATTGTGGGAAACGAGAACAAATGGTGTGTCGATGTTTTTAAATGGTCCATGGAAAAATCTAAAAAACATGTCGCCCTTGACGAAAACTACGTCACCGTAGTGCATCGATTCGAATTTGTCTTGTCGTAGTTCATCGAAAACATGGTCGGCAATGGCACGAAATGTATCACCAGTGATCAATGGATAAGATGAATTACGGTTAGATTTGATATTTCGATAGTATAGTTTCTGGAGATCTTTCACTTCTTCATGAAGAATAACATGAAGAGGTAACGCAGCGTACGAAGTGATATCGAAATCGGTGTTTGGCGGCAAATTTTCCGAGTCGAGAAAGTAAGCGTATGAATAACAAATAAATAATATTAGACTTATAATAAAAATGTTTCGAGACAAAGTGCCACTTCGATATGATGACACAAGGGCTTTTATTGATGCTGATGTCCTGGTACGAATAGAATTCATTTGATCGCTAAGTAAATCTATCAATTGAGGGAATTACGACGTATATAAATACATAATCTTGCTCTATACATTTTATAATAAGGTAAGAAGAAGAATTAATAGTTTCAGATGTGTAAAATACTTGCCACGTTTTTATCGACTGAAATCTTTCGTTTGTGTGTAAACAAAAAAAACGAACGAACGTTTTACTTCTCTTCTTAAAGTAAACAAAACATTCTCACTCATCTACATATTCATGTTTCTACCAGCAAGGATTGCCATGCTGATTTTTGCATTGATGACAGTGAAATTTGGCTAACTTCTCCGTCCGAAAATGTTAATAATAACAACGCCGATACTTCTTTCAAACTTAATATTCATGTCATATGGTAAATGTAACTTAATTTATTTACTTTCTTGATCAATTTGGTCCGATTAATATAACACATACACACACACACACATACCAGGATACAAAATTATTCACAAAATGGAAGGCATGATAACCGGATGTATTAAGAACTAATATACACGAATTCACGTTTGAGTTTATAATGATAAAAGAATGAGAACTCAGAAGAGAAAATAATTACATATAAATATTATTATCCGACTAAACAAATTTCATGTTAATTTCAACTTTTTGGCAGATCGTTGAGATATTGCCGGCATGATTTGAACGAAATCTTTGTCATCATCATCACCTGTTAAGTCAATGATGGGTTGTGTTTGTATCACTTGTAGTTTTTGAGATAAAATTGGTACTGGTGGAGTCGATTTCGATTGTTGTGTTGAAGACTTGCTTTTGAATTTCTTGTTTTCCTTCCTCTCTGATACTGGCGTCGCGTCTTGCGTTGGAATTTGTGATGGCGGTGTCATTGCTATCGGTCGTTGAGCCATGAACTTTTCGAAAGTTTTTGTTATTGCAGGTTTTAATTGATTCTCATTGACGAGTTTGTTGTCGTGATTATCTTCATCATCACTTATATCAAGTATTTTCCATTGTCGATAGGTGACTGTCGCTTCATCAACCTTCTTAGGTATGTCTAAAACAGATGATGGAACGATTTTCATTCGAAAAAGAAAACGTTGTCTCAATTCACCCGTCAAAGGTGGAACTACCGAACTAATTCGTCGTTGTTCATCATCGTCATCACCAATGCTCTTTTCTTTCTGTTGGTCATTTTCCATTGTTGTTATTTCATCGGATAATTTCATCTCACTAGCAAATTTTTCTAGTCCAGTCATTGTTTCGTCATAATTTCGGGAAATAAATAAACGTTGTTTAATCCAAAGAGATATTTTGTTATTAAAATGCCTATCATTCACATTATTAACAATTCTTTCATCAACAATCTAAAGCAAATCATACTGGAATTTTTTGAGTAGAAAAGAATCAAATTATCATACGATTAATGCTCCCCAATCGTTTTTATGTCGAATGCATCGTCCAAGTGCTTGATTCAACGCACGGTATGCTTGTGAATCGTACTAAAAATAGATATTTTTACATAAAATACACTTTCTTTGCCAGTCAATCGAACAAACCCAATCACTTCCATTCATTATCTGTGGTATACGTTTATTTTGTTCATTGTTATAATTCCGTTTGAATACAACTTCTTCATCTTGCACATTCGGATACGGAATACCAAGTGTAATGACGCAACGAGCATTATTATCCGAAAAGTCGATACCTTCAGATGCACGGCCACGACAAACAGCTAATAGAAGACCGCCTTTAACTGAAAAATACCGTGAATTCGTCGTCGTGATCTCAGTTGACGGAGCTTTTCGTTTGAACATGGCATTGACTCGCTTAGCAGTCGCTGATAGCGGTTTAACGAATTTCATCGTACCATTTGCTTCACGAAATCGATCTGCAACAGAATAAAACCAATCAAATTTCTTCTCCGAGCGCTTCTCAACCAGTATCAAGTTCTTACCGATTGTATTTTGGAAATTTGCACTACTTTTTTCTTCGAAAAAGACTGCCTTATGTTCGTTCAGTTTTTGCCAAAGACCGCTGGACATCCAACGATTCATAATTACATTAAGAAATCGATAGGATGGCACAAAACAAAGAATACCGTATGGAACACGTTGGCATATATCTAACAGAACCAGTCCACACTCATCCTAGATAATATATGTGTTGACCTTATGTTTAAAAACTTTGTTTACCTGAAATTCCAACTTGTCCGTATTCTGATACGTTGCACGAAGTTTAACATTCGGATTTCGTCCATGACTTAGCGCTGTGATGAATGTACGGTGGTTATCGATGACATGATTACATTCTAGATAAATTTCGCATACGAGAATCAAGCAACGAGCAATGTTTATGTTTTTACCTAGTTGTATATCGAATGGTAATCCTAATTCACCGGAATATGTTGCCAAAGGTGCAAGTGTACCGGAAGCAAAGATTAAACTTAAAACAATACAGTTTCTCTCCTAAGAAGATAAAACTTGAAATCTTACGATCGAGCCAATTTGAGGTCTTTGGCAAATGCGACACTTGGTGATAGACAATAGAAAACTAGCTGTTGAGTATGAAGTGGATATGTTGCTTGAGCTACTGTACGTTGATATCGTCTGAATTGACTCGATTTTTGGCTCGTGTTAACCCATTCATCGGATGTTTCCATCGAGTCATCTACAGATTGTGGCATTTGAGAGACAACATTAGCACTTGGCTCGAACGGAATGGTTTTCAACGTAATTTTATAATCGTCGACAAATTGATAATCATCAGCATATAAAATTGAGAGACAACTAGAATAAGAAGATTTGTACAGAGATTTTGAGCAAAATATCGACTCTTACAGATCGAGATCTTCGAAGAACTTTCCAGTTTCATCGGAAAATTTGATATAATCCGGCGCATTGAGAAAACACTTCGCTATAGCTTTTCGTATTTTACCAGCATCTTGAATGGCGCTACGTTTGCTTGCTGGATGAGTTTTTCTAGAATATTATAAGAAATATCAATCCGATTTGGCCTTTCTTTACGAGTTTCACGTACGTTGCGGGCTTCTGAACATTAACAGTTGATTTATCGATGAATTTAGCTTGATGTAATTGATCGACAAGTTCTTTCGGTGTGTAAACATAGTTCTCACGTGGATTTTTCGTGTCGAACCAAAGAACCATACGCGAAAATCGCTCGGCAAGAAATTTCATTGCATTTGCTATTTCCTGATCGTCAGAACTCAACTGTTGAACAGAATCAGGCACAGCCTGTTCTTGAATATTTCCCAATTGATCGATATTCAGATGTTGAAGTAGATCAGATTCTTCGTTTAATTGGTCGTATTCGGAAAAGCCAGGTATTCGACGTGCGGATTGCTGTTGGTTGGCGGTTAACTGTGTGGAAGAGATCGGATTTTGTGTGGAGGAAAAGCCTGTTTCGTCGATAATCAATTGAGCAGCTTCGATATGGGCCATTTCTAATGCTTTCTGGTTCATTTGCATTTCATTCAATGCTGCTTCGAAATCGTATTTCTTCAAGTCAAATTTCATCGATTCACGAGCGCAATCTTCGATATTATGTGCTACAAATCATAAATTTTAAATCAAATATCTCTCATGACTGTCTTGTCTTACCTTCATCGATTATTATCACAGCATTATTAACGGACAATTGCATCGAATTTCGCACACGTGGATCAATCAGATAATTATATGGACAAAGTATAATCTGTACATCATTGATCAATAATCGACTTGTATAATACGGGCAAACACCGTGTGATGTTTGACAATATTCAGTAAACTGTTCAATGTCGAAAACACGTGGTAAATACTTTGAGCCACCTAGTCGAAAGAAATCGCCGGGCATTTTGCCTTTCAACCGTTCGTAATAACCACATTCGCTTTTGAAACCTTGCTGACCGAACTTATTGAGGTCTCGTCGAGTTATTTTCGCACATTCGTGATTTTTATTTGGTCCTTTCGAAACTACTGGATGTACACAATAATTATCACGTGAAGATAACAATGTCATTCGAATTTTGTCCTTATACACAGTGTTACCGAGCTGTTTGGCGACTTGTTCGAGCTGTTTATGTGTACGTGTGCAATAAAATATACGAGATATGGATTGTGGTTTGATCACAGTTGTTGCTGATGGATCTGCTGTCGAATCGTTTGATTCGATTAAACATGGCTGGCGAAGTTGTTCGATTTCTTTTTGTTGCCAGGCGAGAGCAGCACATAGTAGAGTAAGAGTTTTTCCCGTACCAGTTGGCGATTCAAGGAGACAGTGTTTTGATTGTTGCAATGCTTTGATAATTCGGCCAAGCATGGCTATTTGACATGGATAGGGTTTATAAGGAAAATCCACCGTTACACCTACAAGTAATACAAATTCCATCATCTTCGAATATGTTTCAAATCATCAATTCTGACTGATACGATATTTATGTGAGTGTACATGGAATTCTCAAACTGATTTTATAATCACGAAATTACCTGACATAAGCATTGTTTCCGGTGTCATACTGTTCGCCATGATTTATTCAACACTTCGATTAAATTATCATCTGGAAATATCCATCTAGCACTGACATTATAGGTTCTTTTCATACAAACTATACACATTTATATGTATATGACTAGTTTCATACAAATAAAAGTCGTTTAGGATAGTATAAGACGAAATATACAGTTAAAAAGACAATAGAATCAAAAAACAGAAAATGAATTAGACAAAAAATTATGATTTGGTGCGAAAACATAAAACGAGATCGCCACCTCCTTTCCACATGAAATGTTTCACAGTTCGTAGATCCATTGTCAAATCCAGAACCTGAAAAGAAAATCAATACCATTCATCAGGACGACAAACGCGCCGAGAATTTTCTTACTTGATCTTGACATAACAATTCAATAAGATCGACGCTTTTACTAATATCTGATTCACGCTGCTGTTCAGTATCTCCATCATGTTGATCTACAAGAACAGAAATGAAATCATATAGCACAATCAAGAGGGTATCAACTTGATCCATTTCCGGTCGTGGATACACCAGCATTTTGCTGTTGTTGTTGTTGTTGTTGTTGTTGTTGTTGCTGCTGCTGTTGTTCATTGAGAACATAGCGTTCATAAATATATTCGATCACTTTTCGCACGATCATCATATCGCTTGCAGATAAACGGTCTCTGAAATATGAAGAAAAGTTTTATAGAAAAAAAGATCGAGTAAATAACGAACTTTTTGTTATATTTCGTAGCACTGATTTGATGATGAAGAATGAACGGAATTTTGGTCAGAGGAGGAATTTGATGCTAGATGTAGACAAATGTTCGAAAGGATGAGCATTTTAACGATTAACTTACTTTGATGATTACGTTAGTGATAAATTGTGGTAAAACTTCATAGAGAAAACTTTGCTCGGGTTCACCACCTGCCTCGCTACATCGAAAACGATAAAGCGTTCGACCGCCAATTTCACTGTTAGGAAATAGTACACAAATTCACTATGCTTTTATTCAAGTGACACAATTACCCAACGAAAATCGGTGTATGTCCAGGTAAATGGCAAAGATTATCGAAATGGATTCGTTCTGCATAGCCATCATTTGTTTCTAAACAACAATATCCACTCAAACCATTGAGCATTGAGATGAAAACGAAATTCTTATACCTAATGCTTGTTTGGTCACAGGCCAATGTTCGAATAATGAATGCAACATCAGCACACCGTAGTTTTCTGAATGAAGAACAAATCGAATCTATTCATATCTTGTTAATCTTTGTGTTTTACCTTTCAAATCAATAATTTCACTACTACTACCACCAGCTAATCCATTATCGGCGGGCTCTTTTACAGCGATCCAAGCTGCGAATACATCACTTTCTTCGAGTGTTATGGTTAGAATCTAATTTGAATACGAGAATGATTTCCAGTCATACAGATATTATCAATATACTTACGCCAACTTTGAGATCGACACTGAACCAGTTGGGCACGAAAATCGTTTTTGTTCGCTTTCGTATTTCTTCTTCATAATCGCATTTTCCGAGATTTTCGGTCATTCGAGCCTACGAAATCACATACATTCATTCAATATTTTTCTTTTCTAAAGCATACTTGTAACACATCGTAGACCGCAACATTGCTATTCGAATCTTTTGTGACAATATGACATTTATCTGATAATATATGGTAGTGCTTCAATGCTGGTCCGCCTTGAATGATCATATCTGGCTGTTTACAGAACACTTCACCATCATAGTAATTCGTACGTGTTAATGCAGTTAAACTGTCTTTTAAGTTCTAATGTAAAAACAGATGAGATTGTATCGAGAATAGTATTAGTAGAAATGATAAGATACCCAACAACGTATATTGGATTCAGTGGTTGAGACCCATAATTGTTGCTGTTCTTTCCCAAGTTCAACCTAGAAATAAGTTCAGAGTTCTAGTCAGAAACGATTGTTGTCATGAACTTGCTCGAAGAATAGGTTCTGCTTCTTGACAAACGCAGACACTTCTCGATGGCTCAGTTAGATCTGTAAGATACACTTTTCTGTCACGGCCACTTGAATACAACCGAGTAAATGCTTCGTTGACCTAGAACAGATAAATATATTTCTCTGTAGAGAGTGAAAAACGATCAAATTTCAAACATACACATAATGTCCATACAGCATCGGAATGGATCTGAAGTTTACTAATACATCGTTGTTGCCCAAGAGACCAAATACGAATTGAATGATCCGAACTAGCTGAGATACACTAGAAATCAAATAAATATACACATTTTCAACGTTGACGAATGATATTTTACTTGAGTTCCATCTCGATTTAAAACTAATGCACGAATATTATCTGTATGTCCTTTTAATTTCATTAACAAAGCACATGTTCTTGGATCGTAAACACGTATCTAATTAATCGATGCAACAGAAAATAAATGTTATCTTTTCGAAGGTCACACACGATTCCTACGTACCACATTTTCTGGTGAACCACTAACTAAAACTGTACCAGACGGATTCATTGCTAGACTATATACCGAATGTTCATTGCCAGTGAATGTTGAAGCTAAGAAATCAATGTCTGATGTTATATGAATAACTGCCTAACAAGAAAGACTTTACTTGTTACTGTATTATTTACAGCAGTCAAAGCGGTTAGTACATTAATGTCCCATAAGAAAATATTGTTGTCAAAACCACCGCTGGCCACTTGCTCTTTATCTTTTGCGTATGCCAAACATTTGACGAAATCCTTTGAATAAATAAGTGCGATTTACATGGGGGGAAACCGACTTTGTCCTTTTTTACTTTATGCGTTCGCAATGTTGACATGCAAGTTCCTTTCGGTGCATTCCATAATTTAATGGTTGCATCACTCGACGCAGAGAGAACTTAAGAAAAGCAGAATATGAGGAAAAGATACAATTAAATCATCACTTACTATGTTTTCCCGAATTCACTAAAACTATATCATTTACCCAATCAGTGTGATGTTCCATTGAATATTCATACATATCCGACTAAAAGAAATATGCTGTAAAGCTTCGATCTCTCTATTCAAGAAACTTCAACATACACCATATCGTTTGCAATCCCATGCGCGAATAATGGAGTCTCGTCCGGCGGTATAAAGACGATCATTTTTGCCGTCGTATCGAAGCGCGTTGATACCACCTCGATGCAAACGTTCGTTTTCATTTCTTATTAGAAATGACAGCTAAATAGAGGAATACACATTGAAATTCGTCAAGATTCGAGCAAATTTACTTGGACACGTTTCTTCTGCATCGAAGAATATTGTCAGAAAACCATCTGAAACCAAAAGAACAACAATGTAATGATGAACCCCGGTGCACTTAGAGAAAATCACAGATGTCAATCGAGTGTCTGTTTACCCGTAAATAAAACTAATAGGAAAAAGTTTGTAAATAATCTAAATAAATGAAGAGAATGAGAGTTTTCTTTGGATGTCTTTTCGGTTCGTATTTGTGTGTAGATTTATTTTCAACTTCTGATCTTTGACAATCAAAACAAAACACACAAAATAAAACAAGAAAAGTTCTTCTAGAGAAATTTATATTTTTCGTTTTCATTTTCTTCTTGTTTCATTCAGCACATGGAAACGATGAGTTTAAGCATTTCTTTGATGTGCTGCTTCTCGAGCTTTGATACGTTCAAGTCGGTTGATACGTGCTTGAGATTTGTTACCCAAAACACCACCTCCCCAATGACGACGTAATTCATCGTAACGATCGTTAAAGTTGGTCTTCACGGCTTCGATGATTTTACCTAAACCAGATTTATCTTCAGCGTTGACATCGGTTAAAGCAACTGTTGAACATGTTTTCAAGTGAACAAGACGACCAAGTCGAGCTTTGCCTTTCACAATGCAATATGGAATACCCATTTTACGGCATAATGTTGGTAAATGGAGAACGAGTTCAATTGGTTCAACATCATGAGCAATGAGAACCTGAAAAAACGAAGAATTCAATCGAATGTTTCTCGAATCGGATTTGAAAACATACTAATTGTGCTTTCTTTTTTTCGACTAAAGCTGTGACGGTATTCATTCCGCTGCGAATACCGCTTGGTCGTTTTGTTGGTCGATCTGGTTTACCAGTCTTCGCTTGATCTTCGGCACGTTGTTTTAAACGAAGTTTCTTTTCAGCACGTGTTTCTGGACGATATTTTTCAAGTAATTTGAACAATTGGGTCGATGTTTGTTTATCGAGTGTTTGTGTAAATTGATTGATTGGTGGTGGAACTTTCAAACGTTTAAGTAAAACGCTGCGTTGACGTTGGACACGGACGTATTGTGGCCATTTAACGAAACGTGTTAAATCACGTTTGGGTTGAATGTCTATTTACATGAAGTTGAAGTCGATCGACGAAAAGAAATGATCTTACCTTGACCAATACCAAAGTTCTTCGCTCGTTTTTCGTATAGAGGATTGACAAGTTTTTTGCTTTCAACTTTCGATTTTAATGGTGCAGCGGCTATTTTCTTTTTGCCTTTTTTCAATGCACCACTTGATGTTTTACCTGATGCTGAAGATGTTTTCGACGTTGTTGATGTCGTCGTCTTCTTGGTACTACCTGTTACTGGAGGCATGATAATGATTGAAGATAATTGAACAATTCAATCTAAAATGTAAACATATAGAATAGATTATATCTCTAGCAAAAAAAACGATCATATAATCACTATATTGGGAAGAAACTCTGCGAAAAAAAATACATGGAAAATTTATTTGATAATCACAAAAGTGTAAAAACTTGATCCTAAGATCAGATAAAAGTTGACTGAATATGACTTTAATTATTCTTCTTTATGACGGTTATCGATTGATTTTTGTATTGATATTTTTTGTTCAATTGATCGAAATATTCGTAATCAAGTTTGCCATCAGCTTGTTTGGAATTATGTGACATCCATTCCTCAATTTCTTCACAGGTACGTGGCACTACGGTTAACAGTTCACAACCATCACTTGTTATTGCAATATCATCTTCGATGCGAACACCACCAATGTGCAGATATTTATCGATTTCATTCTTGTTTAGGAATTTTTTTAACTTTTCGTCTTCATAAGCATTATTCAATAGACTTTGATTAAAATAAATTCCTGGTTCGATGGTAATACACATGCGTTCTTCTAAGGTACGATCGGTTCGTAAAGATTTCAATCCAACCAATGTCGAGCGACTTTGAGGATTGGGATAGCCACCAACATCATGCGTATCAATGCCTATGAAATGTCCCAGACCATGTGGCATGAAAACAGCGCATAGTCGGGCGCTCATCATTTCTTCAATATCACCCTGAACGAGACCAGCTGCTTTCAAATGTTCCAATTGTGTTCGTTCGGCTAACAAATGCATATCAACCCAGGATACACCTGGTCGAACAGCTTTCATTACTTGCCGATTAGCATCAAGTACAGCTTCGTAGACGATACGCTGTTCGTTGGTAAAACGGCCAGAAACAGGAAATGAACAGGTAATGTCTGATGTATAGCAATAGTATTCTCCACCCATATCAAATAAACACATATCTTTCGATGTCAATTGTCGATCGTTAGGTGCACCAGCATGACCATAATGGAGTATTGCCGGATTATCACCCGTGGCACATATACAAGTATAAGACATGTGACGCATTGCACCATAACGCCCACAATAGTATTGAAACAACGATTCGATTTCGTATTCCTGCATTCCTAGAAGAACAACGTTGTTAAATGTTCAAATGTTTCAACACGTAATAAAACTTACCATCTTTAATGTTCAACATGACAAATTTATGTGCTTCGGAACTAATTTTATTAGCATATCGCATCACATCTAATTCCATGTCGGTTTTGAACACGCGGCATTCGCTAATAATGGAATGTAATGTCGTTTTATCAATATGGAAGTGTTCAATTCCAGGAAAATGAGCCGCTTGCGATTCTTTTCCACTGTCTGTGTTTAAACCATTCAACACGAGAATTAATTTCGATTTGCCGACAAGTTCATCAAAGATTTTCTCCAATTCATCAACATAGTAAACATGGTCAACATGATAAATTTTCTTAAATTCGTCGGGTTCTTTTATTTTACCCATCCATGCAACGTAGGCTGCAGGTAAACGTGGAATAAATAATATTGATTCACCATTTTGGACATTGATTGCACCGTAAAAATCAGGTTCGATCACGCCGAATGCCCAATGAAAGTACGATTCCTGACGAAACAATGGTTCGTGATCACTGCAATAGCGCATTTCACTGGTGCCACCTTGAAGAAAAACAAATGAATCTGGTGGTAATGTTCGATGGGCACGTAATGCTTCACATAGGCGTTGACGATTCAACTTGAATAATTCCATCGGCACTTTGAGCGTTTGAGCACCTTTCCAAAAATGATCTGAGCCACTGAACGTAGTCATGATTTAATCTTGTCTACGACAACTAGATATAGATATCAAACAGCTAGAATATTAAACTTCGAAAATAAACAGACTGTTATATGAATCCATTTCCAGAATTTATCGTTTGTTGGTTTTTACTTAAAGTGTTTATTGATAGGCACGAAGAAAGAAATTGTGATCTACCTCCTTTTTTATTCTATTTCACTTTTTGCAATTATTTTTTTGTTTCAAAACATCTCATTATTGGATTTAGTCAATAAATCGACAGAAAATGACTTTCGTCTATCCAGACGAAAGATGTCGCTAATGTATTACACATCCACTTTCTTTAAAGATCTGAATAAAGATATATTACTTCCAATGATCAGTGCACAAAATTTGAATCCACTCCTAAAATTATGTTTATTCGTAGATAAGAGTCGTGTGATCTCTTTCCTATGTTTGATACGTTTATTATTTTAGATCGCAGTTGAGTTGATCTAATTATACGTTTTTCTCTCATATCTTATGTGAATACACAACTTTTCCCTTGATCTACTAAGAGAGTTTATTCATCTTGTCATACACTTTGCAGTGCTGAGCAAATTGTGAATTTGCACCGAAAACCTTGATAAAAGACAACAAACTCTTTAGAAGCAAAACATCATGACATCATCAGCGCAAATATTCATATTCTCAAAAGAGAAGAAACAAACAAGTGACAATGTCATAACATTTAATTGATGTACGATCAAATCCGCCGCTATACTTCCATTCGAATTCTAAACTTCTCTGGAATGAAGTTGACATGTTTAGTAATCAAATTTTCGTAACCCTTGTTGTTCACTTCATAATGAGTGTTAATGATCACTTAGGAAGCTAAAGTCTCTTCATTCACATTACTTAAGTGACTCAAGAGTTTAAAATCTTGACAAGAATACAATGCTCGATTCAATCGAGTTCGAACATGTAACTAAAACGTTAATGATACTTCACTCATTTCATCCTCTAAGAGTTCCTTATACTGCTCTTCAAATCCGGTGAACAAAATGTAGCCTTTCAAAAACAAATTTTCTTGATTGACTACTGTCTATCAATTCTCTTCGTTATTGCTTTCAGATTTACTCCATCATCGAAAATGAATGAATCCTTTGAATATCATCAATATAGTCACGTAAGAAACATAAAACGTGACGGAGATATTGAATCAATATCGTCTTTTTTTTTCACGTATGATCTAATTTGAATTTATCGGTTGTGAAAACAATGAAAATCTGACACGAAAGCGAAGTGCGGAACGCCATGAATGTTTACGCGTCCGATCATGTTGTGCTATTTGAAAATAAATTAAACAATTGTTTGTCTTATACAAAGCAATTCACACATGTGTTTTGATTTTCTAATGTAATCTATTCGCGATGATTGTTTCCTCATTGTTTTCCTTATGAAATGAAAACATTCGATGATAGTAGATTAGAATTTCGAATCTCCCTTTGCTGTTTAGACAGTGTAAACAAATAATCAATTTTCTGTTTCGTTCGAGCATATTTAATAGAAATCTTGTTGACACTATATTATCGTCTTAGCCATTATCTCAAGGTTGATAATTGAAATCTTGATCCTTTCTTCGTATTATCATGCAAATAGAAAAAAAGCACAGAAAAGATCATGGGATGTTTATAGATGAAGTTGACCTGAACAGAAATCGATTCATTATGCAAAGACAACACCAACTGCTATCAGTTGTACATCCCACCTTATTAGCCCGCTTGTTCAAACAGAGATACATTAATAACGATAGAAAATGATAGAGAAGATTGAGCCGTAGCAAAAGGTCATCTTATTGTTGGATATATTGCCTCCGGGATATCATGTATATACGATCGGATCAAGAAATGATCACAGAGTAGATGACAAGAGAAGAGAAGATAAATTTGCTATTTATATTGAATTACCTCGATGTGAGATATTGAATGTATCAATTTGTAGACGAATATTGAACAGCTCGAGGGTTTTATTCAAATTAGCGTGACAATCATTTCTCTTTTTTTTTGACATTTAATTGTTTTAGTACGAATGATAGGAAAGGAAATGATTGTCGGCTTGCCTCAAGGCACTTTCAAGCATAAATTTCAGTTTATGTATTTTACTATTTTTATCTGCATATATGCGGAATAAGATGAGACGCTAATCTGCAAGTTGTTGTTTTCAAACAATAAGCATATTTAAGGAGAAGAAACGGAAAAGGATTGCTTGCATTTGTGTGGTAGATCAAAGACATTCGGTGAGAAAATCCTTCATCAGAAGCCGTTCAAGTCATTCTTATTCCTGCTTGCACACTGTTGTTTCCTTTTTTTTTCTTCTATGATGTCATTATTCTAAGATGAGGATAGTTAAACACAAATACACCGTCATTTGCAATTAGATACGTTTGAATAACGATGACAAATGGTCACTGACGATGACGACGACGCCATCATCTGAATAGTTCTCTATTCGTTTCGGTGTGTGAACAAACAATTCACGCTTCTGTGTTCATTTTAATCAATCGCGAAGTGTAATATTCTATCTAGTCAAAAGGCACGGATGGGTAATGATAGAAGGTTCAATTTTGTTCATCTTAACACACACGAAGGTCTCTCATGAAACATAAGATTGCATGAATATTTCGTAACTATACGTTGAAGTGTGAGAGAAGCTTGAATAATTCGATAGGCATGATCGAACGAGAAATATCCATTAGAGCAGTTGGTCAAACAAAGAGAAGAAAAATGATTTCCACAAGGATTTACACAGCTTGTGTGTGTGAGAGT